ATATAAATAGAATAAATGAAGAAAAAGCCACGCAACTTGTAACTAGGTTTTCTACTTTTTAATGAACGTTTCGGCACTTCGGCCTTCTTCAGCAAACTGAGTGTTTTGCACGCGCCATTGCTACAAAATGCGACTAACGGAAAACAACAAAACGCGCGCGCTCTACAGCGCGCGCAGCCAAAAAACACGCGCACTTTAGAGCTTGCACGTGGGCTAGGACCTAAATCTAACCTACAAAACCAAAGAAAACAGTTGCTAATACAAAACACTCAGCTAGCCAAACCAGAAATTACATCAAACAAACCCAAGCCAGTAGCAGATTGAATCAGAGCCGTTTGTTTATCCAGTGTGACTTTTTTCTGGAAGCCAGTCTTTTTACATAACCAATTAAAGCCCAATTTGCGCCCCTTACCTCTTGCCAAGAACCTTGTTTCCACAGTATGTTGTTATGCACAGCACAAGTAGATTCCCTGAATCAAAATTTTGAATGTTGACCATATTGTTTACTTTCTGTTGTCCAGATATTTTGGCGCAGCAAAGGAATTACCTGGTGTAAGAGAATTATTTGAACAAGAACGTGAGTATTTTTATTTCATTTGAACAAATGTCCTATTGATACTTCAACTATATGAACATTGTAATAATTATTTGACATAAGCGCCTATCATCGGCCATAGTGGTTACCTGTATAATCATGTATATGTCTATGACGGGCATTAAATTCACAATGACTATAACTAAGCTCATTCTCATGAATGAACCCACTTATAAAGGTACATGGCTTAATAATATGTCTTTATTGTTTGTCTTTATTGATTGTCTTTATTGATTGTCTTTTTTGTTTGTCTTTATTGATTGTCTTTATGTTAATTGATTGGGTTGATATGATTGTACAGCTCCAAAAGCACCCAGAAAGACAAGAGGAGAACTGTACAAAGATGTTGATGCAGACTATTATGGATATAGAGATGAAGATGATGGAGTTTTAGTTCCCATAGAACAAGAAGTTGAAAAAGATGGTATGGATATACAGTATCATTATATCATGATGCTCACTTACACCTGCTTACATTAATTTTGGATGATGAGTTCAATAGCAACATGTTAGGAAGTGCATACCACTAGGGCCTTTCTAAAGCTGGCTAAATAACTTTACGCTTGTACAATAAACATGTTGTTTTAACAAATCAAAAGTTAATTAGATCTAGAGTGTATCCTCCATATGAATTTCAACATCTTGGACTGGTTGTATGAAGGTTGGATAAAGTGTTATTATTCACTGTTTATAAGTTGTCCTGGATAAGTTTTTATGTAGTGGACAGCACTATTMATGCTTTGTATAAGGTTCCAGTTCATCATCACTTTATAAATAATATACATGTACACTATAAAGGGGATAATATYGCATGTAAAATGATTTTGTTTTTCAGCTATAGCAAGAGCCATTGAGGAATATCAAGCAAAAAAAGAACAAGAGATGGAAGAAGATGACGAGGAAGAAGAAGATATTTATGCTGTCCAACCTGAACAAGAGGTAAACCTTTATAAATAGCTTTSAACTTCAGCATTCCTACACATGTATTTTCATGGAATTATTGATATTCATATGATTTTATATTTTTTRCCTTTTAATTAGGGTAGTGATGAAGAAATGGCAACTGATGAAGGAGGGGAAGGAAGCCAATCGTTTGTAKCCCATGTTCCAGTACCATCTCAGCAAGAGGTAAATACCCTGTCACATTATGAAAGAATATAATAATTTAATTATATTTCTAAACTTAATGTTTGTAAAACAAGAATTTTTGCTCAAGAATATAWGAATATGAGGCAGAATCAGGTTTAWCACTGTMTGTTTCTRTTTTATTTGTAGGTTGAACAGATGCTTGTTCAAAGAAAGAAAATGGTAAAGACTATGTTATAAACTAATTCAATTCCTTTTTAATTGTCATTAGACCTTGAATTCTAATGTTTATACACAACTTGGTAGTWCAGCAGGCATCAGAGCTACAAGTATCACTTGTTGAGATCATACTTTTATTGATTTGATATTTCATTCACTCATTTCTTTTTTTATTCAGTCCTTCATTCGTAACTAATACTGAATTTTGTTATCTGTTTCCAGGAATTATTGGACAAATATGCAAGTGAAGCGCTGATGCAGCAAAGTCAAGAAGCCAAAGCACTTCTTGGTTTATAGTGAATCGAAGTCATAACTCTTACTTTACTCTATAGTGTACAYATATGGCAATCATCCAATTAGCATTTATCGTCATCTTAATGTACTGTGTATAAACAAGAGAAAGACCTAATAAATATATAGTGGTTGTACAGTCTTCAAAACTCAAATAGTATAAAAATATGAGTTGTCTAATGAATACTAATCATAATTTTTCAAAAACAGTGTTGGGTAAGATACATGTTATCATTATATGGGGCATCATGAGTATATCATGTGATTATCATAAATCGCAAATAATTCCAATACTCTAAAGGTTATTCAAGCACAATCTGCAGTGTTATGACAAACTAAACATTTATCTTGGAAATATCAACTGCCCTATATATTGATATTGTRTTTATTTAAGTTAGCAGAATTAGTAGGAATTATTATTACTATTTGTTTCAAAAATTAAGTGTGTTTACTCTCTCAACCTGGAAGTTTATTGGCAGCATAGACAGGTCRTAATGTGTGCTCATTTAAGTTGCATTTTGTTTATCACTTAAAAAATAGTAGCTGAGAAGCCCAGMAAGGAGCAAACTAATGAACTGGAGTCATTCTTAYTGAATATTTCATAGTGCWGTCYGTGCTCTTTTGACAAACACAGTTATCCTTATAGAGGTACTGGATGTAAAGTGCAAATATAACATGAAAAAACATTGTATTAGAAACTAYTGCATGCTATATTATGTATTTGTGAATTATTCTTTAATAAATACTCTGAGGATAACTTTGTGAAAAGTAGGAAAAGTACAATTTTTATTAAAAATCCAGTAATAAGGTCGAAGAAGCATTGTATAAAACAGCAGAAAAAATTAAAACAGTTGAAAAGTCTACAATGTAAATAAAAACTGATTATTTTGTCTATTTTTATGATTAGTTAGATGACGTTCATGTGTTACCTTTCGAAAGAAAAAAGGCTGGGMACAAAAATCSACCTACCCTCCCCTCTCTAACAACTTTCACTTGTCGTACCAGGTGCCTTGAGGGTCATTGTTGACATTCACAGGGAATRTTTGAACTCGTGCTTTGGACTGCAGTTAAATCAATATTTTACCGTAGTATGACAGAAAAATATGGCTAAAGAGCCATATCCATACGATTCCTTTGACTATTTATTTAAAATAGTCCTCGTRGGAGATCCTGATGTCGGAAAGACCTGTCTRGTACAGCGATTTTGCTCTGGGACATACGTGGAACGTCAMGGAAGCACTATAGGTGTAGATTTTACCATGCGAACAGTCCGAATTGACGACAAAAAGATCAAGGTAGACAGAAAGAAACATGTCATTTTCTATTCATTTACAATTCCTGAATGTTCTAAAAGTCGCTMTGCTTGTGAATTTTGCGCTACGCTTCGCCGGAAACGGGTTTTTCACTTATACAATTCTATTATGTTTCAATTATCTTTGTATAATGTTAAGGGTTTATGTACAGATTTTGTCAATGAGGGTGAACATCTAAAAGTTTCTAGATAAGTATCTACAGATTCTCACAGATCGATATTATTCAAATGTCGGATTAATGTTTTGCTGGTGCCCATTTAACGGAATTACAGGATACATTTAGAGGGATTTGGGGCGCCTTCATATTATGCAGATTTTTCCTCCATGCTATTAACCATTTATTGGCCATACATAGACCTAAATTCCTCACATGTAGCTGAATGTTCAGTTGTATACAATTACATTTGTGTTATGTAATTTTGYCTCGGCGTGCAACCAGTTGTTTTGCTCATAAAAGTCGATACTTCTCAGCGTCAAACTCAAAATATTCCTTCTTTCATCGTAATGTAAAATCGCATTTATGACGATACAAACATAAAAAACACAATTTTTCCTTCGATAACTAACAATTCCTTGGTTTTGTTTCTTATCTTTTCTTTTGTATGCGATCAACATGTAGTTCATTTAGGCACGTAAAGGTTATGTGCACTATCAAGAAGCCGACTTACATAATACATATACATTTTCAACCTAAGCTTTGAACATATGATTTGCAATTCCCRAGACTCTATGTATTATCTGTTTACATTTTAACAAACTAAACCCTATTTATAAGAGGCAGTCAAACAAATCGTGACAACAAWGGGAATAATTCATCCAGAAGCTTCCATACAATTTGTCAGTCACGTCCTCACATACTACTGAGGACTAATGAGATAATATATGCAAGGGCACGTGTTCAAATCAAGCATTAATAAATACTAATTATTATATTACATATTCATTATATAATTACTTACCATAAAAAAAAAATTCTTGGAGCACTTTGGAGTGACGTGACAAAAACCTCTTAACGCTGTAGCCTTTGTTTTCTTTTGGTTCCATATGACTAGCGCAATGTTGTTTCGTGGTCTTTTAAAATGACTTAGTTGTAAATAAAATCATMAATAGAGCAAACAGGAGTGTGCATGCCTCAGGGTGATTCTAGGAGTTCCTTGGCAGACAAAGTCTTTGAAATATAAGATTTTATTTGCCAAAACATTGGAAACATTTTTTTAGATAATCCAACAATTTTTTTATGTGAATTTAAAATAATACTTGTGCAGATGGAGTATTTAATAACAATGAGGCCTGGTATTCTTATGTTAACCATAATTTTAGTCGATGACATTCCTTGACGGGCTTCCTGTGGTAAMTGCTAGGTTTAACGGTTACCACAGGAATCCCATAAAGCAAAGTGATCAAACTGAGATTATGGTTAGCCGGTAGTTTCCAACAAACCAATGGACAAATGTTATAAAAATGCCATGATGAAAGATTAATTTTTTTTTAACATTTTTTGGACTATTTTTGCTTCATTAGATGCGACCATGGTCTGTCATTAATCAAGCCAATAGTCAATTAGAAAGCTGGATTTGTGATTGAACGTAGTTTGGTGAAAAATAGTCGAAATGATGTCTAGAAAAATTTCTTAAATGGTCTTTTTGGAAATTGATCACCTATAGTTTGGTAAAACATTTAGGCAAGTAGAGCGGCACGGGTTGCTTAGTGGTTAATTTACTGCCGTCTCACCGCTGTGGTCCGGGTTCGATTCCCGGGCACGGGGCCATTTGTGAGTTTGAGTTTGTTTTATGTATTGTTCTCTCCCTTACCTCGAGGGTTTTTCTCCCTCATCATGTGAGGATCGTTATGTCATAAAATACTTAATGTAGAGGTACAAGCTGTTGCGGTGTCCCTGCCCAAACTTATAGGGACAAGCTAATAAATTTACTGGACTATCAGGTGGTAGTSCACTCAACCTCGTGGTCTAACTGTTAATAGCCGAATTTTGCCTTAGTAATAGTAGTCAAAAACAAAGAAAATCAAGACGATGTGCCGTGCATAAAGCTCAGTCAATTGTGAAAAACTTTTGTCTTTTCACAAATGACTGAACTTTATGCACGGCGCCTCGTCTTGACTCCTTTGTGTGTGACTACTGAGGCAAAATTCGCAAGTCGGCTATTGAAACAYGATTTTTATCTCTTATACCTTAACAGCTGCAAGTTTGGGATACTGCAGGTCAAGARAGGTTTAGGACTATTACTCAAAGCTATTACCGCAATGCCAATGGYGTCATTATTACATATGATATAACTAAAAGAGAGACATTTGCAAATGTTCTTCGATGGACTGAAGATATTAAAAGATATGCACCTGAAAATGTGATTAGAATACTAGTAGGAAACAAAAAGGACCTGGTCGATGAAAGAGATGTTAACTGTGAAGAAGCAATGAGTTTTGCTGAACAGCATAACATGGAAAARGTTCTGGAGACGTCTGCAAAGGTATAGACTTATATTGGTTGCAGTTGTCCTAACCAAGGCCCCCTTCGCCATATCTTGAAAATTATGTCGCCATGCCTTTGCATTGAACTGAGATGATTGGTGGAACATCTAAGGCTGTGAATAAAGGTGTCAACCATTTATCTAGCCTGCGTTACATCCGGTTTTATTTGGCGAAATAAACCGGATGTAACGCAGGCTACCATTATCTTACCTCAATGCAAAGGCAATGTTATATTTCAAGATTGTGGAGGGAATCGTAAAGGAAACTACTACAAAAAGAGGGAGCACTTGTAATAAGACGACCAATCAAATAACAGTATTTTTTTGAATCTGTTCACGGTTTAAGTGAAGATATGAATATGATATGAATATTATTCCTAAGGGACTTCTCCCGGAATTGCCTCCTTCTAAGCACTATAACTTTCTTTCATTTCTATATCACGGTTTAAGAGGATTACTTCAGTAAAGGATTTCAATGTTATTCTCCATTTAGGATGCAACCAATGTTGACGAAGCTTTCCATGGTCTAGCAGCTGCTCTAAAACATCGCTATGAAGTTGGAGCACAACTGCAGAATCTAAATGATGGAAATTGTTTGAAGGAATCACATGAAGTGCGCCGAAAATGGAAGTGCTGCAGTTGATATTTAAGTAGTGCCATGACTGTGACATCTAGTTAGGGCTACATCTAGAGTGAAACATCTTTTCGAACAGCAAACACCCTTGTATCACGACCAAGAAGTCTTGTCAGTCACCATGATGGAATTGGAGTTTTCCAGCTAAAAAACCCTTGAAAAACACTGAATATTCAAATATATATTTTTATATCAATCTACAGCCTTTTGCAAAAATTATGAGAATTGTCACTAAATATCTAAATATCATAATATCCATATCCATATATTGTCCGGAACACGCGGGTTTGCTAGAATAATTCATTGTTGACATCGAGAAAATGTTCAGAACTACGGATAAGTCTGTCGCCAAAAAAAANTCAACGTGATAGGAACTTTGAAGCTTCAAGGTCGTGATGCAAGCGTTTTCGCTGTGATTTCATTCAATTTAAGCCCAACAGTTTTTCTGGTAGATACTGTTAGGTGCTATGCAAGTTCTGGTTGGTTATGGTTGATCTCGACAGTGCAGACTCTTTGACAGACATAGAAGTTTTTGCTTGCCACATTTACGATAGTTTATTTGATTGCTCATTTATGAACCTTTCTTGCTCGGCCAGGCCTACTCTCCTTTGTAGCCTATACTTCCTGACCAATCTCGTACCCAGAGCCCGCACTTTTGCGTCCGGCGTTAGCATACCGCTGACATTAGCCGTGAAGACTCTGGGCTCGAGATTGGAGTCTTTCCGGCGTCAGCATACCGCTGACATTAGCCGTGAAGACTCTGGGCTCGAGATTGTTCCTGACAGAAAGCCAAAAAAATAACGGCTGCAAAGAAGACCAAGGCCGCCAAAGTACATTATGATTTATTCTTATTATTAAAATCATGGTTATCCTGGAGTAGTGAATGGCTTAAAAGTGACTTGAACTATTCTCAAACTGACTCCATGGACTTTAAAGCAAGAGATTATGATATATAGTTGTGCTGGCTTTATGATTAATGTGAATGCTGGCTAAGTGAATACATATAATATATTATTTATATGGCATGCTCAGTTTTTAGCCATAGAATTTGTAGGCACTCCAAAAATATTTCCAAACCTGAGCCTGCCTAATAATTATATGACTGGAGGAATCAATTCTGTTTCTYTACGTTTTTTTTATATTTTATATGCAAAATTATTGAATTTTCTGCTGTCTCCACTTGCTTTTTATTTGATTTAACGGTACATAACATTTATAGCCTTATATTTATTATTTCATACAAAGGTAATTTATTTGTTATAAATTTATACAAGTGGCAAATCTGAGTGTATTAGATGTTTACGATGTACATATTATATAATTGTACTGAAAACAAAACAAAGACTTGAAATAAATGAGGCCTGAAAGAACAGGAATTGACAATAGGTCTTCTGCAAAAGGTCCTTTTTCTACTGTGTTCAAATTAATTTTTAATTCTTTAACTACTTCTGGCTTACATTGC